TTTCCCAAAACTGTTCAAACCCCAGGCAGGTTTAGAAATACATTATCAATCAACCAATAACAAGTTTGATTTTAATGAGAAATTAGATAGAAATCTCTCAACAGAAAACAAATATCACAGGAGAATCAAATATAAAACAACAACAAAATCACCAACTCTTTCTATTTACGTTTCATTAAAGGAATGCCAGGCTGGAAAGTATTCATACCCTACACAATGCAGGGTTTCCTTCATTGTATTGTAAGCCTTGTGGGCCACCAGGCTTAGCACAGTTAATTTATCTTAGTTTTTTATTATTATTGTTATTATTGCCTTTTTTAAGACTTTATAGATGTGTTTAGGCATTAATCTTTCACTCTTCCAAAAATGCATAACTATCAAGTAATATTTTCAATATTTTCCTGTCAACTTTAAACATTTTTATGATTTCTTCTGTTACTTAATCTAGCTAATTTTGATCTACGTCTGAGTGAAAGGAGCACCTCTACAAACAGTCCACCATTGACACGCAGCACTGAGAAATGCAGCTTGTTGAGGGATGAGCTATCCTTTGTGCACTTTTTCATCATTAATGTTTTTCAGAAAGAAGTTAAGTAATGTTTTTCACAGCGGACAGAGCAGGCGAAGCCAAATCTGGAGGCTCTTGTCACATCAACTAATTCAAAGCCCATCTGCTGTTATACATGACATTCTCTGGCCTTCTGTGAGCCATTAATAATGAGGACACGGAGGCCCGGCAGGCACTGGGCCTGGCTGCATATTTCAGCTACTGTCACATCATTTTGAGCTTTTAATGCCACTGTAATCTCTACAATCAGGAAAAAAAAAATTGCATTTGTGAAAATAACAATGACTGGTAATACGCATTTGATAGAAAAAAACAGTTTCCAATAGATATGAACCAAGAAATCACCCATCAACAAAATATGGTAAATTTTAGACAAATGATTCTGACATTTCTTTTTGATCAGCTGATTATTTAAATAAATAATATTGAATTAGTAAAACTAACAGTGAAGATTGTTACTGTTTGTTTTTAATCTTGTGTTTTAAGATACTTCATGATGTCCTTTTGTAATGCTTGCAAAATGTTAAAATTGTTGAGTGGGTTGATTTGAATTTTGTGCTTTGGTTTTGTTTGTGTCTTAATGTGTTTTATTAGCTCTTTTCTGTCTAAGGTTTGTAAAAGTATGACTCCCATATAATGTTTGTGTTGTGGACCCTGGGAGGAATCGTCTCTACCATCGTAGAAAACAAATGGGATTCTTAAGCAAAACCACTCTATGCTGTCATCGTGTGAATGTCAGTAAGTGGTCTTCAAATAAAATTAAACTAAGCAAAAGAGGCTTAAAAAGACATTTAAAAGTAAAATGTCTTTCTGTGACCGTGGCAACAGTTCATTCAGGTTACAAGACAGAAAAACATGAAGGTCAAACAGCTTAATGCAATAAATGATAATGTTGTTTTGAGACAATTTTAAAGTAATGGCAAGAACTCATTTTTATTTAAATTCTAATGAACATATAATACAGGAAGATATTTTAAATATCCACAAATAAATAAACAGAAACAACAAATTATAAATTATTAAGTTTCTGTAAACAAGATTTGTCCTTCAAAATAAAACAAGCATAAACCAAAGCACCAGACTGACTTTTGTCATCCAGTTTTTGACAGAAAGAAAGAAGAGAAAAATGACAAATTGTGCAAATTGAAATTATTGACATTTTATTTCCAACTTATTATGCTATTAATTGACTCATTGCGATAGGCCAACTTAGGATCTACATTTTTACTGAGCTAATGGCTGGTATAAGACTCTAAATTATGTAATCACCTGGTCTTACATAGGGACTGCTTTCTGACATATGGTGTGATTTCACATCTCCCTGGTAAAATAAGTAATGAGTGATCATAGCAAGAATATTTGATTTTCTTTCTTAGTATTTCAGTTCTTAGAGAAATTAGAAATCAGCAGCGAGATTCTGATTAGTACATTTCTAGTTTTATAACTCAGTTAATCCAAACTTTTTGTCACATGGGTCAAAATTGTAGAGTCAAAAGTACTTGCAGGCCAAACTTTTAACAGGATTTTGCATGTTTGCTGTATTAAAAGAAATGCATCTAGTTTTAAAAAAAATGTCTTGAAAACTAGACATTTTTTTTGTTGACAGATTTGACGTTCTGTCAAATCACTTTGACAGAACGTGATTTAGGTCACTTTCTGTCAAATTGCTTATTTATGTAACCAAGTTTAACAAATTAAATTAAAGCTGATTTGGATGCAATATAGTTCCCTTTTCAGTAAAAGTCTGAGCACAGACATGGTTCTATTTATTATAAAATGACAAATACTTTGTGCTGTTGTAAGAAAATTATGTTGGTTTTAATTTTACCTTTATTACAAATAAAAAGCCAAGACCCTCTGACGGCTGTGTCAGATCTGTACCACTGTTGAATTGCAGTCCAAGGGCCACAAATGGCCCTCAGGCCACACTTTGTAGCAAATGAATGTGTATAAAAAAGTACACTGCAGTTTAGATAAATTTATGGCTACACAGATGACAGAAATGTGTCTCATCCTGACCTACTCCAAATCCCCAACCTTTCTAGGGACACAACGGAGCTACAATTTTCATAATGAAATGTGCGGAAGTGTAATTTAATTCCCCTTCTATTCCATAAAAGTGAAACCTCTTTTCTTCCTCTCAACTAAAACCACCACAGAGCATTGCTCTGTAGGTAGACAATTCGTTGCAGAGTGCAGTTTACTAAATGATTCACACAGCTGCTGCATTATGATTAGGGTCAAAGTAAGAGGATTAGACAAAGATATTAATGCTCACATTATCACAGATAGGCCACTGTGACACCTGTTTACACACAGCACTCAGTTTTTGTTATACAAACCCTACTTTTACACGCAATCTACGTAAAAGACCCAGAAAATGCTGAACTGTGCACACCTGGCAGCATTCAGGAACGTTAAAGTGTTGCTACCTGAAGCTAACTGTAGCTACAGACCCAAACAGCAACATTGATACTCATGTTTATCCCATTATTTACCCAACAAGCAGCTAATAACACAACAAAAAATAACAGATATGAACTATAACAGGCCGCTTGCTTTTTGCTAACAAGCTAGCTTCAGAGGGCCAAGAGAATCGATCATTCCTGCGGTGTTCACCCCGAGGAGGAGCGCGAGCAGACGGGTAGCGTGTTGTTCATCTCACCGCCGACAGCTCCGGGTGAAGCCCAACGAGAGCAGCTCCGCTCCGGGATATCTCTCCACGTCCTGTACGTCTCTTGCTTACACGCCGACAAAAGAGGGAAGTCCTCCAGCAACCGTCAGGCAGCGACTGCTGCTGCGTGTTCTTGGCGCCCCTTCTTTATTTACCTTCCTCCTCCATGACCCGCAAAGCCATTGACCGAGCGCCTGGAGAGAGACTAGCGACGTAACGTACATGCGTATTCTTCAAAAGTTTTACGCAGAATGGTGTCAGAGAGGGAAAAGAACGTAAGTTTACGTAAAATATGCGGTGAACGAAACAAAGTCCTGAAACGAGCATGACACAAAAACACATTGGATAGTATGAAACTCAGTAACGAAGAAAATTTTTTAGATAGATAGATAGATAGAATAGATAGATGGATAGATAGATAGATAGATAGATAGATAGATAGATAGATAGATAGATAGATAGATAGATAGATAGATAGATAGATAGATAGATAGATAGATAGATAGATAGATAGATAGATAGATAGATATGGTTTTACATAATAATAGCAATATATTCAATTTATATGTAAATTGTTTATTTTTAGGACACACAAAGACGTTTAAAATAAATAAATAAAAATGCTGCATAGATCTGTTAAGCTTGGGAAAGTATTACAAGACCACTATTTTTCAACACAAACTGAATCCAAGGAATGTAAAACTAATATGCAAAAAGGAAGTTATATATCAACTCAGTGTCAAAATACTAACAGGTTGTCTGCATGGGCGTAAAGTTATCCCAGATGGACAGGAAGACTGGATCTTCCGTGACAAATCTACCTTTGAGTGTAAGGAAGCACAATGTGCCAAAAATGAAAAAGGCCGAGGCTGTGATAAATCTAGAATCCCGGAATGCAGCATAGCGGATTCAGTCTACATGTCATGGGTTATTTGAACCTGTTTGAAGGTATGACTAAAGCAGATGTATAGGGTTACATTACTGTTTTACTGAACTATTCGGAGCTCAATTAACTAAGTATTCTCTTCATATTGCCTTACATAATTATTCATTTCCCTTAAAGCTGCAGCAGCAACTTTTATAAACAATATATTTTTTACATATTTGTTGAAACTGTCACCATGTTATGACAGTATGAAATATATTTGTATTATTTATCTTTAGGACACTCAAAGACACTTAAAATAAATAAATTAAAAAATAAACACACACACACAATCTATCTATCTATCTATCTATCTATCTATCTATCTATCTATCTATCTATCTATCTATCTATCTATCTATCTATCTATCTATCTATCTATCTATCTATCTATGTGAAAAAACAGTTCTTCTGCCTTCTCCCAATTATTGGAAACAGTAAATGAGTCTTAGCGATGTCAATCACCACGTGTGTGCTGCTAATCCTCCTTCCAGATTCATTTATTTTTTGCTGTTCTTCTGTAGCCACCGATGATGACAGATGAACAATTTTCCGCCATTAGCACATTCACAGGGATGATTGGCAGCACTAAGACACGACTGAGCAGTAGCAGTTCAGGGAAATCAACCTTTTCATAGATTATCTGTCTCATACCATTCTGTCATAACATATCACAACAAATATGTACAATACTTATTTTAAATTAAAGTCAAAACACTGCAGCTTTAAACAATTTTACATTTTAGGATTTTCTTCAATGTTGGCTTTTGAAACATTCCTCTATTGTTATTTTTAGACCCTCCTTAAATAAAAAAGTTAAACTTTCTCATGGAGACGTCATATAGTGTTTTTATTATGAATTTTGCAATGTTTTCTGACACTTTTCAATAACAATTACTCAGCATAATCCATGTCGGCATTGTATCATTAATTACAGGTAATGTTCAAATAGTAACATAGTAATAATGTAAGTTTTTAACCAATGCAATTTTTATTCCTTCTTAACGTGACACTCGAAAACAACAGGCCTTTATTTATTTTTTTTTACTGAGAATCTTATACCACTGCACATTAATAGGCTACACAGACAGACAGCAAGAGACACGGAGGGAGAGGTGAGGGGAGAAAGGCTGGGAGGGAGGGGAAGGTGAGGAGAAGCACACAGTTGTACATTCACTGAACCAAAGATGACAGATGGAGCGGGAAGGAAACTGAAAAATAACAAAAACACACACACAAACACACAAAAAAAATCAATTTATTTTTAAATGTGGACAAAAAATAAAATCAACCGATGAAAGAAAATGAGCAAGACAAATTGAAATATCACAACAATGTGCCCTCCTTTGTTTTTTTGGTGATGCAAATTCTTAAATTACAACAATATTACACACAAATTAGGATACACTCATCAAGCCAAAGATGATCATCCTTATCACTAGTACTACTCTTTATTATAGCTATCATCATTATACTATTTTCTGATTCTGGAAAGGTGATTCCTTAAATGGAAAAATAAATCATAATCTGCTCCCTCTCAGAAATGTGCAGTAAAAGAGAAAGAGTGAATGCATTGATAAGAACAACAGCAATAACAATAATATCGCAATAGTCATTGTTGTATGTACAGAAAAATTCATTACAATCAATACAATCAAAACTGCCCAAGCTGAGCGGACATTCTGGAAACTGCAGGGGTCTTGGGGGTCATGGATGGTGCTTGTGTGTGTGTTTGCAGTACAGTGTAGCGAGTGAAACAGTGACATGAGAGTCATTTATAGGGAGGTCAGAGAGGTCAAGGTGCTGTTTTCTTATTTTGTTGCACAAGCTGCGGGGCTGCAAAGACCCCAGTTTGAAGCAGGAAATTTGACGACGTCAAATTTTGCTCGTAGGGGCTTTTATTTTGAAGTATTGCAGCAGGAGCGCTTGTGTTGGATGTTGAGGTCTGCGGTTGGTTATCAGGAGATCAATACAGAATACTGCAAAGTAAACCAGTCTTACACTGGATCTCAAAGGTGAACATCCCCTCCAAAAGAGCAAAATAATTCAGATTATTCTTCACCTCTAATGTGACATTTATTCTCTAAAAATTTCAACAAAGCCACAGTAATGTGGTTTTATTCCTACACCATGAAACAAACACGTTTTGTTTTTTTGCTTTAATTTCAGGATTTAATGCACATATCCTCAATTACAGAGGATCTTATTAACCAGAAATAATAAAAAATAGAATAATGATTTTATTTCTTAGTTACAGCCACAGTTTGATTTTTATAAAGCATCTTATTGAGTTGGGTAGTAACTAGTTACATTCACTTGAGTAACTGATTGGAAAAAAATTACTTTTAGGAGTATTTTTACTGTGCTCTAGTCTTTACTCTTACTTGAGTAAAATATTTGGACACTCTACCCAATGTGAGTAACTTCAACCAAAAATTCACCAGACACAGACCTGCAGTTTTTGTTAATCATATTGATATGAATTATTTTCATAACTTTATATTTTGGTCCATTTTCTGATGTAATTTTTAGATATTAAATCCAAAAATAATCCTTAGTACTTGAGTAGCATTTTTACCAAATACTTTTTTTTTTTTTACTATTGACTACCTTCTTGCTACTTTTTACTTTTACTGGAGTTAATATGTTGAAGTAGTGCTACTCTTACTTAAGTAAAATTTTTGACTACTCCATCCACCTCAAGTGGAGGCAGCATAATGCTGTGGGATTTTCATTTAGAGAAACTGATCATTTTCACAAAAAATCTGACCCAAAATCTTTATGTGCCTGATGAAAAGCTGAAGATCAAGATGGATTTTATTTCACTGATAAACTGAGAACTGAATGCTGAAATTAAAAGATGCTTCCAGAATACGTTAGATACGGGGAACCGGAGTTATGCAGTAAGATCATTGCGTCGTTCTTGTTTGACTTTCAGTTGAATTTCACAGCTTAAATGTCTTTGGTGGTAGAAAAAGTTTTGAAATGTATTTTAACAGGGACGTGTGCACCTTAGAGATCCACTTTATTACATAAATAGAAATAAAAAGGCAAGGACATTGAGGTGTTTCTTTTGAATAGCTGAGTGTGTCTAATCTCACTGCCTTCACTCTGTGGTTAGAGGAGACGATGCAGAGAAGGAGAGGAGAGCTTGTGCACAGACTTTTTGAGTCTAACGAAGAGGCTCAAATATGGTTGGGATCAAGGATTGTGTCTTTGCTTAAGGATCGACTCAAAACCTTGTTGCAACTGACATTTTGCTTCATTCTTCTCGTTAACAAAGGATAGAATACAATCAATATTTTTCTTGATGATTAAACAATCCCTTTCAACCAGCATTACACTATACAGACACCAATTTCTGCTTTAGAACGAGTGCACCACAAACGATTCTGGTGGAGGGGGTTTGTTTCGGTGGGTAAATTACATTAACTGTACACATTGTGCCATTGAACATTTAAGTGGAGAACAACAGCCTGTTGTCGGCTATAGGTCACATATGGCGTTTGAGCGTCGAGAGTATTACGGTGATTGTGTTGTGCGAAGTGTTTGTAAGCATACATTCCTTATACTAGTGGCATCAGTTTGATATTAAAAGTGTCGGAGTGTGTGACTGGGGAGCTGATTTATGGAGAGATACGGCTCAGTAGCGGCGGGTGTTTCCGTCTCTGCCCTCCTTCTTAATGATGATCCGCTGGTCGTCGCTTGCATCGTCAGGTGACTCCGCTGCCTCCTCTTCCTCCTCCTCTCCATCACCTTCCGTGTCGGCAGAAATGCCCATACGGGATTCGTAGGACTGGGAGAAAACAGGAGGGCGGAGTGGATACATGAAAAAAATAAATAAGATTTATCCTGACATCAATTAACGGAAAGTTATCTCTACCTCCATTGGGTTGACAATGATGGTAAGCGCCGAGTCATCCCATTGGTTGCTGCCCTCTTTAGCCCCACCCCTGGACCCTTCACCTCGGCGATGGATGGAGCGAATTCGGAAGACACCGAGGATCACCATGACAACAAGGAAGCCCACACAGACCATAATAATGACGGTGGCTGCTCCTGGGACCACTACAAGAAATGAAGATAAAGTGTGACAATTCTCCATGTTTTTTGTAAAAGTGTTGAACACAAGCATCTGAAAAGTGTGGTGTGCATTTAAATTTGAACCCCTTTATTCTGATAACTATTTAAATAAAATAATGCAGAGAAGAGTCCTTTGAAGTCCTCTACTTGGTAAATGAGTAAAGGTTTGTTGAGAAACATTAATGAACAAACACCAACCTGAAGACTACAGCAGATACGTTTGGGGAAACAGTGAGAAGAGGTCAAAAGCAGAGATTAGGGATAAGACAATTTAATTCATAATTAGTCATAAGGAAAAGACAAGACATGGCTGGCCCTCTACACTAACAGACCAAGCAAGGAGCGTATCAATCAGAGAATCAGCCAGAAGGTCCATGCTAAATCTGGAGGAGCTGCTACTGGTTGAGACAGACCAGTATCTATGGGTCAGAATGGTCCAGACAAAGTCTAGATTGAAATTACCTTGAGAACTGGTGTCAAAACTGATGTTGAGAGACACCCTCAATTCAATCTTACTGAGTCTGAGTTTTTGTGAAAGAGAAGGCAAAAAAGAATAAGTTGTATCTATATAGATGTACCAATTTCTTAGAGACAGTGAATCACAAAGGTGATGGAAATGCCACACTGCAACCTCTTCATCATCTAAAGAGCCAATTTTGCCCTCAGTCCAGCTAATTAAACACATTTCAGGCTGCAAATGTTACTTGACCTTTTCAATAAACAAAACGGACATTGTGGTGGACATCTGCAACAAAAATGTATTTTTAAAAAGAATCATCAGCTTATTCCTATTTTTAGTTGTGTATTTTTTTAATAATAATAATGTTTTTTTTTTTTGCACTACTGGACTTTATTTTCATTTCTTAGAGACAGTGAATCACAAAGGTGATGGAAATGGAAAAGGAAGGAAAAACATGCAGCAAAGGGAAACAAACCTGGGACAGCAGCCACTGCGATATGCAATGTTGTTATTTTTAGGTTTTTAGGTAAAAAAAAAAACCCATAAAACTAACAGAGGCTGAATAAATTTCCTTCTATAGAATGTTGATAGTGATGGAAAATTATGTAAAAAACTGGCAAGAAAAATAGATTTTAAAAAGCACTACTGGCACTTTTACTGTCATTCATTAGTGGAAATTCAATATATGTGTTTTGACCAAAAGAAAATCAGTTTAAACCCACGTTTGTTGGTTTATTTATATTAAAAATGGTGGGTTCTTAATAATGTTTAGCTAGAGTTATGAACACCATATAGAAGTAGACAATGCAAAGAGCCACTTAAGGCTCTGAAACCGCAGGTTGCAGACCCTTCGTTTATCACAACAATAAAGTACATCAGAGTTTGTGGTTATGACGTGAGAAAATGTTTCTGGAGTTTTAATTTTCTGCCTTTAATTGATCTTTATAAGAAACACATGTCAATGTATCATCAGTACAATCAACAAAAGTCTTGAAAAGTTGTCCTGCTGGTTCAAATATTCACATTACCTGAATGAAATTTACCTCAATAGTTATGGTGCTGTATTATTAAGATTTCAACTCAAACACATGAAGGTCTTGCCAACTATGTCACAAAATGAGGGTTTCTATTCCTGTGAAATTCTCCTCCATATCCATTAATATCCTGGTGACTCATGGAGCCGTTTTTGGAAATGCATTAAGTTTAAAGATGTATTTATAGTCCAGTTCATTAGATGACTTTAAACTCGCTGAGAGATCATTAAACAGGAGACAACTTGTTCTTTTATCTCTATTCAGGACAGATAATGAATGAAAGACAAACATGTTTACTAAAATGTTGATACTATTTCCTCTGAGAAAATGTTTATTGAAAAAATGTCTGAATGGAAAACCTTCCATCTGGACAACATCAAATGTGACTGAAAAGTCAAAGCGATCATTATTTAGCTGCATCACTGAAAGGCAAGACAGAGACAAAAAGAGTAGAAGTTTTACAGTTTTGTTATAACAACATTAACATTGTTAATGTTTTAACAACGTCAATGTTAAATCTTGATTAGCTGTTCACTTTGAGTGTCTCTTTTGTCTCCACATACAAATAAAAGGCGAACCAATTCCTGCAACATTCATCCTCTACTCCTCATTTTGACTTGCAGGTGCTTGACAGTAGCTTAGATCTGTTCAATATTTTACATTTTTAGGAACTCCAGTGATTCGTCACTCATTTTGCTAGATGTGTTGGTTTGAAAGCTGAACCAGCTGTTTGTCTCAGTCAGGATGCTCAGTCCGTCATCAATAAGCCTTCCTGCCTGCTCACCTGTTTGACCCAAACCCTCTGTCATCCTCCAGGACTTAACTGCATGTCAGTTTGGGTTTCACTGTTTGGTATTCAGCTCAGAAAGCCTGGCTGCCCTCTGCAGGCCTCTGCAATCCACTCAATGTCACACCTGGGAGTCATGCATGGTGGCCCAGCCTAATGTCAAATCTTTCCGGCTGACTTTCAGAGTATTTTTGTGTCAGTCATTTAAAACAATAAGTTCAAACACCATTTTTTCATGAATGCTGAAGCAGCCGCCTGGCATTGTAACTAAAGCAACCTCTAATTTTAAAATTTACGCTACACATTTTTTATTAGGAATTTCTGTTCAGTAAAGCTTGTATTTTACTTGTTGATATTTAAAAGAGACCCATTGTGCAAAATTCATATTTAGCACACCTTTGTACTTCCATTTGGGTCTCAATTGCCTCTAAAAACAGCTAAAGCACTTAGAAAGAACCCAGCCGGTTACTGGCAATAAGTTAAGTGTTTTTTTGGTGTGGGAAATTATTTTGTTGTAAAAAACCTTCAGAATGTAACATATCAAATCTGCAGTTACCTAGCAACACCAACAAAGCCCAGTCCGTCACCTAGCAACCCAACATAACATTTGGTGAGCTGGTTTTACCACTACAAGCGCCGTGCAATGGCTGCTGGAAAAGACAAGTGTTTTGATGTTTAATTACCATAAAAAAACACTTGCTGCATTCTTGTTTGTTGTGCAGAAAGCTCCACTTCTGCTTTTCAAAGATGTACGAGTGTATAATTGTGCCTCTGTTTGCAGCCATTTTCATATGCAAGAGTTTGGAAGTGTGGCCAGCAGCAACTTATTTCAATTTAAAGTGAGAAGACACTATAAACAACTCATTCTGAAAAGAGCTTAACATATTCAGAACACACTAAAATCTTATTATCAAAGAATAATTTTCTGTGAAAAAGGAAGTGAACATGTTTTGTATAGCTTGTAGATATATCCTAAACTCTTCAAGAAAGCTTAATAGGTGACTATAATACATTTCCTGCTACATCATGCAAGGTTTAAAGAGTGCTTTTAGGGTAAGAAATGAGTTGGCAATCAGGTGGTTAAGGGAACATTACCTGAGTTGCGATGTGGGTTCGGCAAGGTGTGTCCACTCAGCTCTCCAGAATGATGAGATGGATGGAGGAACTGCTGCTGTGAGGCCAGCAGGTGGGAAGGGTGGTATAGGCTTTCCAAAGAGTGGAGGAAGTTCACCTGAAAGTAGTGAAAACGTTACAGACTTTATAACGTAGAAAGAAACCAAGTTAATACAGAACATTCATTATAACACTATTAGCAGCTTTTCAGTTTTTGTTGGAAAAATGCTTCAAAAGGTCAAGGCTAAGATCTGAAAGCTATTATGGATGTTGTTGGAGCGATGTTTCTCGTTACCTCCAGAGTCAACTCATTGCTTGTGTATCTGCCATTCATCTCAGAGCACGACAGGCGGAACCGCCTCTCAAAGCGGCCAGAGCCTCTGGCCAGACGGTACCGGACTGAGCGGAGGACGTCCTCGTACACAGAGATGGATTCAGCACCTGGAGAAGACGGATAGGAAAGAAGATCCCAGAGGCAAGAAAAGGAAGACAATGTTTGGACAGCCACAACAGAAAAAAAATATCCTGCCCTGCAAAATCATTCATACAGCCTGAACTTTTTCACTTTCTACTGGGATTTTACATCGCAGACCAACACAAAGCAGCAAATCCAGGCCTTGGAAGATGAATGAAAGTGAAGGTGATTTTCTCTCCAAAAATGTTAGCGTGGTGTGCATATGTATATGTATCCAATACCCCCAGATATAAACAAATACAACCAAATGCCTTCAGAAATCACCTAATTACTGAAACATGAAGATGAAAAAATGTGTGCTAGAAAACTAAGTCAGAGCACAACAATGTGTTAAAATTGGCTAGAACGGGGCAATATGGCTTAAAAACGGGTCAAGATGTAAGCCTTTCATATCAGTCAATATTGATAATTATTGATTTGTTTATTGTTTTAAATATCTGGATTACAGCCAAACTGGCAGTGTGACCTTTCCTGTTTTATGCATTTCACACTGTTCACCGCACAGCATTCTGGGAGATGTAGGCAGAGGAAAGAGTTTAATTGCTCAACCGCTCACAGCAAACTAAGCAAGGTTAGTTAGCAACTCACTCACTCTTTGGTTGTCTAGCTACGACTTGTTGACTAACTAGCACAGCGGCAGTTTAAGGTTTCACTACTTTGCCTTGTGACAGCTTAAAAATAAAAATAATGACAAAAAACAACTTTGTGGAGTAAAAACTTTGAAGAAAACAAGAAAGCCTGGCTGTATTTCAGTTATTTAAAACCAAAAAACAAATAATTAATTTCATGCAGCCAGTTATCAACTTCAACTGATATGAATTGTTTACATTATACGTATTTCACCCATATTGTCCAGCCTTATGCTTCATAAAATTTGTTTTTTTGTGAATCAATAAAGACAAAATCATTTTAAAAATGCATTGCAGAGCAGCAGTACCTGTAATTGCGATGTAAGCGGTGGTATTGATGATATCCAGTCCTCGCTCTCGCACAACTTCCATGTCTACCAGAAGCTCCTCCCGTTCTGGATTCAGCTCCTCTCCCAGCGGCTGCACCTCACATCCGTCCAAAGTGTGAGCCACAGCATCTGACATCAGAGCTAAGAGGCAACGCAAAATATGAAATAAACAAACAATAACATTCTTGTTTCTGAGTAGAAATCAAAAGACGTTTCAAGAATTACAAACATTAAATCTCCATATCTTTGCTCACCTCCACCCTCCATGCCCTGTGCAGCTGTGTTGACAGCATGTGACAGTGAGCAGACAATCTGCAGCTCCGGGAAGAGGGGGACGCCGCGGGGTCCTTCAAATTCAGGCGCAGGACGGGCCAGATGTGGGCCAACCCCGGACAGAGAGATCTGAGGGGCATCAGGCTGGAGAACCACCAGGTATCCCTCCAGCTGTTTCAGTGACAGGCAGCTTTCCTCATTGAAACACCTGGAAGAAAATTACAAACAAGAAAACAGATTTATTTTACAGCCTTTGAATGAAGTATTCAATCAACCTTTGAAATTAGACAAATACAGGTCCATTTAAATTTTCTGAAACATGTGGTAAACACTAAAATAACTCATTTCACTGCGGTAAGAACAATTCAGTGTTTGTGTTCTACCATCACAAAAGTAAATTTGGACTATAGCAGGAAGCATAAGATCAAATGTTAACAGAGGAGGATAGAGTACCAATAATCCATTCATCTTTTGATAAACACGCTCAATAAATCGTCTCTTTTAATATATTTAATGCCACTTTTAATCTGTTTATTAAAAAAACATTTTGTAAATATTTTGAATAATATCAAGTAGTACTTTAGTCCTACTTTTACTGTTATGGCTGTGTTTGCTTTTTGCTATTTTTCCTCATTTATTATCCATATTGTATTTTAATTGGGTTTTGACATTTGTGGCTTTGACTTGTGTTACTCCCAGTCTTGCCCAGGTCTCTCTTGCACTAAGAGATTTTTTATCTGAAAGGTAATATACATTAATCAGGAACAACTATACAGTGTGATGTTTTTTGTTATTTCCAAGTTTTGTTTCAATTCAGGTTGTATTATTTATATAGCGGCAATTCAAAACATGTCATTTCAAGACATTTTAAAAGACAAACAGATTTCTGTTATTTTATACAGTTAACTCAATAAAAATGTAAAATGTATGTTCTATACACTAAATAGACAGTTTAGATATTTTAATAACCAGTGAAACTGAATGGGTTAAACTGTGTACTGTGTTTATAAATACCCAGAAGGGCGATGATGATGATGATAATAAGACTGTTTATTCTTTAATTAACCATACTGTTGTGGCAGAAGCAGAAATCTTCATTTATTTCTTTTCTCGTTTAAAGCTCCTTACGTTGTGGTGATAAGGGAAAGACAATTTGTTGACTTTTAAAATTAAACCACACACATCAGTGAATCTGACTGTTGTTCATTTCGGTTTTCCGGATGATGCAGCAAATACCGACTAAATTTGGGAATCTTTCTTTGGCTTTAATTTTTAAAAATCCCAGAGGCTTATGGGGAGGAGATCAAACCGATGCTGAACATGACTTTAGGCAAGCTTCTCTGACAGCTTCCTCCTCCTCTTCCCATGTGCGCCAACATCCTTAAACAGGTGTGACATGCTAAATGAAATCTTCACAGTTTATCAGCGTTGATTTTATTTTACTGGTTAAACAGTGTCACCTTGATGTTAGGATTTAACTCGAAGAAGAAAGCTGCAGAAAGCATGGTAGAGTATTAAAAAAACAACCTATTCCCCTGCTCTGCTTTTCCACTGTGACTGTGTCGCCATTTATCTGTTGTGATGCTGAAAATAACAAATGTGCAAACACATTTCTACTGTGTAAAATGTAATTTTCCTGCAAGAAGAAGAGAAAAAAAACACAGAATCAATGACAAATTGCTACAATTTCTTTACCAGTTTGCCCTAAAATTCAACATCATATGTGAAAGGGTATTAAGCTGATTAAGTGGTGTGAGTGTGTGTGCTATATATCCACTATCGGAGTAAGCAGCTGCTTCTATCGGCCTCTCCAGAAGGGCCTGCTGTTCAGCCATCTGGTTGACTCCTGGGCTCAAATCAGTCTAAGCTTCACACACGCAATAAAACATGGCAAAGTAAAGAAAAATAAAAAGTATTCTCCTTGAGCAGAAAGCAAAGAGGGGAAAAAATCTGTCATGCCCTTGAATCCCTGGGATCTTCAAACTGTCACATAAAAAAAGCCCATCAGCTTGATGCATGGGTTCATAATCATCTTAATCTTATAAAAACATGTGACTAAAACATTCATGTCTAAAGATAGCATTGAGAATATCTGCACAGGCTGCTGGTGAAAGTGCAGGCTGGCTGTGCCCTACAGGGAAGCAGAAGAACCTCAAGAAAAGTTTTCTCTTCATTCAGATTCTCTTATGAACTTTTCTGCCAAGTTGCAGAAATCATAAAATCTCACACTTCAAATTCTAAAACCAGAAAAAAATAGTGAATATAGTAAGTTTCTCCACATGTACAGTCAGTAAAACATCTGTAAAGTAAAAAAACAGCTGGAACAGGACACGGGTTTGAACGGACTCAATATTTACATGCTATAAGCCTTTTCGGGATCCAAAGCAGATTTTAATTTAAGGCCCCCATTCCAACATGTCAACACCAGGTACTTCATTATTCCATATGTGTAACTTACCTACTACTAGTGTAATTTCCAATTATCTGACATCATACCGGGATTATTACAGCTTTTGATTTTAACCTCACAGGAGTAGCAAGCAAGCGAAGATGGTCTAATTAATTCACATTTTGAAAGACAGAATGGTATTTAAACGTGGCATATTAATTTGACTACTGAAAGTAACATTTTCAGACAAACACTGACTTTACAGTCAGTGGCACGTTCAATATATTCTGTAAAATTTGGAAGAGATGTGTAAAATGTGCAATTTATCACTATGAAGTAAAATCGAATGAAGCTTTTGGGCCCCAAGCACCCGCTAAGCTCACATATGACTCGGACCGGCTCGGCACGCAGTAAATGTGCATTGTGCGCTAGGAACAACAGATGATTGGAAGCTTGTGCAGTATTTGATCAATTGTGTATTTAGCACACTAATTTGATAAGTAGGGGGATTTTTAGTAGGTATAGCAAGACAAATAAATAACAACCAGAAATATACAAATGAAAAGTTTCTTTCATTTTAGATATTAAAGCTAAAAGTCCATAAAAATCTAAAGATAAATGATTTATTATTTGACTTTAATCCACATTCGCCCTAATTCAACACAAAAATAAACAGGCTCCACCTGCTGTTGACTGTCAAAGAAACTTGAAGGCAAACCAAAGAGGTTAGATATTCTTTGTTATCTTCTGCTTGTATATATTTAAGTTAAACTTTTACTGCACATAAATCATTATCTCAGACAAGTCAAGGTTGGGGTTAGATGGAATCTGTGTGAAGCGAAGAAGCAGCAGTGCAACAAACAAAGCTGAGGAAAAGTAAATGTTCAGTATTTAATTAAACAATTAGTAAATTTTTTAATCAGACCAGTGCAGAGGCCGACTGTCCTTTCAATAGAAAAATGCAACTCTGAGAAAATGAGGTGCTCTGCCTTTCTTTTGCCCTAATTCCACTCTAAATAAAATGCATAACATACATTTTACACAGATAAATCAACCTGGCTGCTGTTAGTGACTCCATGCAACTTCACCAACTTTCAAGGTCAGCTTATTATTAGCAACTTTGGGCTTGTCTTTTTCTAACGTTGCTTGCAAATCTCATGAGTTGCTGGTGTTGTAGGCTTGTTTTTGACTGTGAGGTTGCTTATCTGGCCTTGGCTTTCTTTCTGAGAAAAACCAATAAAAACCGGCACCAGCTCCCTACAACAAAGCAAACAAGAGCGGTTTGGTTGTCGTTTCCACGCCCCCATTTCCTGGTTATTGCGGCTGCCTGAATTGACTCGGCGCATCCCAAGAGCCCAGAATGACAGGCACACGAGTGATGAAACAGCGTGAGAACGATGCGTGAGAAATACGTGCTCACCATGTTAAGAAGCAAAAAAATATATGGATAAATAAAAACTGCACTTTTCTGTTCAATGTGATACGTCTGCAAATCCACTTTCCTTTTGGTCAGAGTTTAAAAATATAAATTATTAAAATAGTTTAAACTATTTAAAATGATCATAAAAGTGTTTAGAATGATTTTGCTGTCGCTTATATAATGTCATAATAAGGGCATATATTTATGTCGTTCATAAACAGCCTCTATTTTATTCAATATGTTGTGTTAACAGTTGGGCTTTTTTTGATAGTTTCCATAGAGCTGGTTGCTTGTTTCTCTCATAAGATCTGCCAACAAGGTGGACATTACCTTCTTCTTTGTTTCCAGGTTTAAAAAATGCATATTTATGCTGCAATTCCAAAATAATTTAAACTGATTTAACCTGCTTAACACTTTTTAGAAGTGATTTGTGTTCCTGTCCCTAACCCTAACCATATATTGTGGGGGGGTTTCTCCAGTGCTTCAGCTCGCTTTAGCTTTTCTTCTTGCTGCTTATGATACAAAAAGTGACAATTGTGATCATTTAAGCACTTGTTTTTGTACATATGATGTGACCACACTTTATTATACCATAAAGTCAGACACTCTAGATAATGTGTGATTTCTAATCAACAAAAAGTCAAATGTAAACAGACAGACTCTCTTATTTGCGGAATAATAGCTCTAGCTAAATGATAGTTGTCTGTGAATATTTTGTTTCTGTCCATATGCTGCGTAAACTCAAACTAATTTACTTATTTGACACTAACAAAGTCATGACTTGAAATCAAACTGTTTAAAGGCATTTTGTCTTAGTGTATGCAAATTTCTCAATCTGAAGAAAGTAATTAACATTTATCTCTATCATTATTTTGATATTTAAGTAGTAATAATTTTGGTAAAGAAAGTCTTTAGTCGGATTTATTGACAGTGAGAAAAATAGTTTTGTGAAATGTGTGTAAATATCTGTTTAAATGTAAGCTCTCTAATCTCTTCACTTCCCTTATAATCTGGAACAATTTGTCTGTCTTTAAACTGCTGTTAATGTAAAATTGTTGGTGCATTCTTTGTGCTCTATCTTGACATCTTTATAAAACTCTTTAAAGGTCTCTGCTTGACTCTGCTTTTCATAAGTATTTATATTTGTTATAATTCTTTCTTCTGATAGTGTAATCATTTTTGCCTTATGTATTAAGAGAACTCAGGGATCAAATGTTTCCTTTTTAGTTAAATAAAATGCTTAGTTTGTTGGCAAATTTCCCAGCTACGTTCAGGTTTTTTTGGGAGAAGATATGTCTCTTTAAATTTTTTGTGGTGCTGCAAATCATTTAGATTTCATAGAACGTATTTATTAATTATAGGGTTCTTCTACCTGAGGGAAGTGGTGAGCTTGAGAGGTCGGACTCCAGGGGTGGCGAAGCGAAGCGAGTTTCTGTAGGTGACCTGCTGAACGGCTCGGTTGAAGCTCTCGATATCATCTCCCTCCAGGACCAGGACCGACTGACTGGGGTTCACATGTACCTGGAAGGACAAGTAATCAACATTTTACCATACCTCTGTCAAATCACATAAGACTTTAAACATTCAGGTTAATTCAACGTAATACAAAATTTTACAGAGAGTAAAATTTGCAGAAGTATTCACATCCTCAGATTTTGACACATTACAACCGCAAAATTCCATTTATTTTTCAGTGGTTCTTATTTCAAAGACCGGAAAAGTAGAAATATCTATGAAGAAAATGGAAATAATATATAGCTTTCTATAATCTTTCACAAATAAAATAGAAGTTTTGAGAGTACTTCTGTTCAGCTACATTTACTCTAATACCCCATAAATTAAATCCAGTGAAAGAAGCACCCTTGAAGTCATCAGTAACCACATATACTGTCAGCGAGATAAACAGCAAAGCAGCACAAAAATTTCTAAACCTATGTATAGTTCTTCCATAATATCCATAACAACACACTATTATGGATATTATGGCAAATACACAGTGAAAAAAATCCACCTAGTTTTTTTTTGGCAATAAGTTAATAATTTTTGGTGTCTGGAAAATTAGTTTCAAAAACCTCCAAATTGTTAAGTCACATTGAACGGGCATTGCGCCATTACCTAGCAACTCAAGCCAAGCCTACCCCTGTCATCTACCAACCCAAGTGGAGTTCTAGCACATTTGGTGAGCTGGTTTTACCACTGTATACGCTGTATAATGGCTGCTGGAAAAGACTGAATCAATTTTTTGTCGTCAACTTACCATCCAGAAACCACTTGTTGCACTCTTGTTGGTTTTGGAGTAAGCTCTACTTCTGCTTTTCAAAGATGCACGATTGTATAATTTTGCAGTTCGCAGACATTTTCATTTGCAAGTGTAAACTTTGAGTTGAGGGGTGTGGCCAGCAGCAGCAGCATATTTAAATTTAAATAAGTTGAAACAGTTAATTCTGATAGCTCAATATAAGAAAAAATGACCAGATTAAAATCTGTTTGTATAAGAATAATTTTGTGCAAAAATACAATGATCATGTTTTGTGTACTCTATTGACCCATCCTAACCTGTTCAAGCTTAGGATAGCTACCTGAATTTACCTAAATTTTAAAATCAACTTTCTTATGGTTTAATCCAAACAAAAGCAGAAAATATCTCAGTAGATAATCAGATATTTTGTATGTTCACCACCGCCTGCAGCAGCAAACACAGTTCTGGTAACCTGCTGCTCTCCTGAGGCGTTACCTTCATCCCAGAACCCAGAGTCTCCAGGTCTCCGAAGTCCAGGCCCTCCCTGCAGGCGTACAAGCACTCCACCACGCTGTGCGGCTCCACACTGCCAGGACGCACCGTCACCCCTGACAGCAGGCCATGGTAACCACCCACAAACTTCACTGAAGTGCAAACACAAGTGACATTGTCTCACCAGCTTGTAATTTGCACTTTGTTGTTGCATCAGCAACAGGAAAGACAATCAGCTGAGCGTTTCTATGAAACAGGGAGGTCACCTGAGTCTTTTCCCTCTGGGATTGTGTTGTTTAGTATCTCCTTCTGCTTCTCTTCGGGTTCTGTTGGGAAAACAACAGAGAGAGGCAGAAAAACAGAAAACAATAAGCCGTACTGAGACAGTCACTTCAATGGAGCGTGGTGCGAACAGACAGAGGGTGCAAAGATACACAGAAAGCAGCAAAAATACAGAGACAAACTATAAATAAATACCACAAGCATGCAGAAGTGAGAAAACTATAGTGGATCTTCAAAAATGCAACGTCTCCTCATTATCTGGCAGCAGCTGCCACCATGCAGGCAGCAGACACAGTGGATGAAACACTGAACGTGCGTATGTGTGTGTTTCTTTTCTACAGTAATTGGCTGCCAGAGCTTCCCATTTTAACGAGCGGTTCTGCTTTAAGTGTCTCTGAGCTGTCTGCCCCCAGTGTTGTTCTGCTGCTCTAAATAATTGATAACTCATTTATATTATTAGGCCTTCAAGACAAGATGCAGTAACCACACTGAGTAAAATGAGGAGCGCGATGTGGTATGTCCTCATGGTGCGTCTTGAGACGTGTCATGAGGCGCAGCTGGCTACTTTTGGTGGTGATATTAGTTCAATTGACATTTCAGCTTTGGATGAAATTAAAAATGAAAATACGAACCCCAGCAGGCACCAATGAGCATCCTCTGTCGGGGCGCGGGGTTCGGGATGGCGCCGTTGTCATGGATGAGGGCAGGGTCAAAGGTGACGCCGTCCACATACAGCGTCACTGACGGGAACTGGACACTGAGGGATAGATGATGCCATTCGCTGTCACACACCTGTTGGACGAATATAATGCAGAAAAAACAAGAGCTTCAGAAAACCTTGACAGATCTGAGGGAAGAGCAAAGCTTTTTTAATTTGAATTTTAGGAAAAGATTATTGTTGTGTTCAAGTTCTGCTAAATAAAGTTATTCAAGCCTAAAATTGTATTTTAGTGCTAAACATGCACCGCTGAAAGCTGAGGTCAGGAATATTATTTCAAAGAAATTACCTGAATGAAAATGTTTCCTGAAACACTTGAAAGTTGAATAACCCTCTTGCTTTTGAATGCCCGCAAGTAACATGTAAATATCAATGTAAATTTAATTTAACGTAAATATCATTAAATTCAATGTAATTTTTTATTTATGTATCTCCAATTACACGCAAAGAAGAAACACTGAAGAACTGATCGAGTGGTGTTGAAGAAAAGTAAAAAGTTAATGATCAGGAGAAGAATCGGAAAAAGAGTCAAGTTATCATCAGTTGGAGACACTTCAAGTATTTGACATGCCGGTGTGAGTGATGCACAGCTCAATTAGCTTTGCTGTGTCTAGTCTGAGTTGATGCTGTGTATATTACAAGATTAGATGTGGAGAAAAGCTATATTTGAGCTATATTTACATTAAGTAGCATATATTTGTACACCCCTGAATTACAAGAAAGCTAGGTAACAGTGTGACAAGAGAGCTTTCTTGAACTGTTCATCTGCTGGAGATAGTTTTGAAGGGCTCACACTTTTTTGTCCTGATCGAGGCTCTCACTGTACCATACACTTCCAGGGTTAGACATGGGACAAGAGTAGAGAAGACAAGAGGAAAAGCAGCAAAAATTCATAAAAAAATATTAAGTCTTTACAAAGCTTCAGGGACTCATAATAAAAATCACTTTAGGAACTCTAAAAAGCACTTACTCAATTGTAAGATCACATAACTGCGGCAAAACAAGGCATTTGCTTTCATCCAAAAGCCAAGTAAGAAATTATCTGCAAGTAAAATACTATCTTAAATATACTTTCCACATTTTACTGAACATTTATTTTGCTTTCAATTATTCTTGTTTTAGGTTTCTTTATATAAACAGACCCAAAAACACTGAAAAAATGGCAAGGGAATTATAGAGATAAGGGTGGAGGGTAGTGGGGGGGAAGACTGGGGTAACAAGATAACGGAGCTCAGACAGAAGGCTTTAACAAATCTCCCCTGTATCAGCTCAGCTTCTTTAATCTGAGCTGCTTCAGTCTGTCTGAGACCAAAGCTTCAGACAAAACAACCCTCCATCCCCCAAAAACAAGCAGTCATGCATCAAAGAGTTAAAAAAAAAACCCACAGAAACACTGTGAGCAAAACTGTTATCATTTTTCTGAAGTTATCTTCTTGTTTTGACTTGGAGAACTGGAGACTGACACTCCTACTCTGGGTTCTCTTATGCCAATTTACATGAAATTGTGGCTTTTTCTTTTCTTTTTTTAGTGTATGCAAATATCTGGTTTTAACTGTTTTCATCTTATATTTCATACAAGAGGTGGATTGTAACTAGCTATATTTACTTAACTGACTTATTTTACACCATACTTTTTATTCTTAAATTAGTTATTTTAATATAAACTACCACTACACTTACTCGAGTGAAACATCTAGATACTCTACCAAGTATGATTAATGTGTTTGTCTTAATGAAGACAAACACATTTACCAAAAATGTGAGAAGCAGACCTACAGAATTGATTTAAAGTTTTATATTAGAAAATTATGGAAAATATTTTTTGGGAAAAGTTTTTGCTGCTTAAAATGTGTTATGTTATCATTTTGCTCTTTACTTGTATTAATATTAATCTTTAAAACACCAGAATTTTCACAGAACTTTATATTTTATTTTGAATCAGATGTTTTGAACAGTTACTTAAGAAGATGTTCTACCAAATACTGTTTATTTTACTTGAATACTTTTTACTTTTTTTTGAGTAAAAATAAGTGGAAGTAGTGCATGTCTCTGTACTATTCTCTCTTTATTAGGCGTAGTTATGGATAAAGAAATAGGTAGATTTAGCATGACAGTCATTTTATCAGATGAGAGCATCATCCCTTCTCACTGCAGTTATTTTTACATACATAAGGGAAATTATTCATCACGGCGAAAACTGCTGATGGCTCTCATCTGGTGATGAGAAACATGTGTAAGGTAATGAAATTGGAAACTAAAAGCAAATATTTTCTTTATATCCAGCTGAGGATGGATGTTAAAAACGGAAGAAAAAATGTTATGGTCGATGCACAAATTGAATTCTATCTTGGCTTCTATTATCCTTTCACAGGTAGATAATTGCACAATCCGCTAGTCAGACTACAGCTTCAAAAGATGGATGATACACACAGCATGAACCGTTTAAATTAGGCAGTTACTCTATAAAAAGCTTTAGAGATAAGAGAAAAAGCAGGCTGTATCTTCATACAGAACTATGTAACATCAAAGATTACACATTAAGCATGCTGCAGAAAGAAAATGGACTGCTAAACTTCCTCAAATTCAGTCAGAAAGATAGAAAGGCAATTAAAAATATGGGTTTTTCCAGGACCTGCTCCAGCTTCCAGAGGAACTTGACGGGCCGAGCAGCCGAGACATCGGGCCAGTAGAAGAGAGAGAGGCGGCAGCCATGGACGGAGAGCGAATAATGGGAGTAGGAGTCATCTGTAGAGCAGAGGAGGAAGAAGATAATAGTTGGATCTATTGCTTAGAGAATAAAGAAAAGAACTGAATCATGAGACTTTCTATGCAGAAGAAAAGGTGGTTGAGCGTGGGTTGTTTATGTAAATTGAACATCAGTGACACTTTTTGCAGCTGTGGCTAGATGTAGTAGCTTTCTTGGTTAAACCTTCAAAATCACAGCAAATCCCAGTGATTAAACAAACCGTTCTTTACGGTGCTGCACACAATAGTCTCCTCCTCTTTGCGATTTCCTCTAGATTGAGTGGCTGAAGGCTGGATGTTGGCGCCGCCCCGACGCATCCACAGCTGCAGGGTGAAGTGATCACCCGACAGAGCGGACACAACCGAGTTGGGAACCACCGCCACATGATTCGACCCGTTGAAGGAAAAGACCAGAGAAGAATCGGAAGAAGGAAGAGTGGGGAGAGCCGAGGTCCAGTTGGCTGCTGGAGATGGAGGTGGGAGAAGATCAACTTCGCCCCTGACGGCACCTAAACACAAAAAAATAGAAAACAACTCAATAGAATTTGATTTTTATTTGATTTGATTGTACTTTATTTTAGAGACCCAAATGGAAGCACAAAAATGTGCAAAATATGAAATAAATCAATATTTACTTCCAGTTGAATATGATTTTTGGGTCCTATTCTCACTAAACTTACCACAAAGTCGCCGAACAGAACGGTCAGAGTAGCTATCTCTGTCACAGCCCTTCCCAATATGGCCGGTTTGGAGCTCTACGGTGGCCTGGATGTTCCACACTGTTTCTTCGCAGGTCTCCAGATGCAGGCTAGGGAACAGGGGGATGCTGCCTGACCCAGGTGTGTACTCCACACGCTTTGTCCATCCTTTAAAGAAAGACAAAACATTTCAAGACACAACTCTGATATTAAACAAGCTGGGAGATCAATCAAATGACATAAGACTGAAATGTCTAAAAACAGACAGAAAATGTAAAAAATACAATAAAATAAAAGAAACAGAATGACAAGATATCAAAGATTCAAAAATAATGGCTCACTTTAAAAATCAGGACAGCTTTGCTGAATCTTTTGCATTGCAATGAATTTCATCACCTCTTCTTTTAACAACAATCTGGTGGTGTTTTGCAAAATAAACAAGATATTTCCCTCATCCTACATTTCAAACATACTGACAGATGCTGCAAGGGGTTTATTGGTCTCTTTGGTCTTTGTGAGTTTATCAGAAAGCCATTTTCAAGATTTATAACTTTCTCTCCGTTTGTTCTTATACAAAGTACATTTGACCTCCAGCTAATAGTGGGTCATCGATTGAGGCCATGCTGAAATCATCTTTATACGCTCTTTGTTCTTTCATTCTAAAAAAAGACACTCAGTGATTCTGAGTTTAAATTAGTCTCTTTCTGGATCAAAGCTTTTCAAAAAGAAACTGCAACCATTACCCTTCAGTATTCACTTTTTTAATAAAAAGTCTTCCAAGTTTTGCCAGTGTTTTTCAGCTGGACTCACCCATAGAAAGTACTCCTGGTTCAGTGATTCAGTGTTAAATATCTTTTTCTGGGCCAAACTATTGAAGGTGCTGTTAATGCCATTAACTCTTAGGATGTTTTCACTCCTGACAACATTTGCTGCATTTTCAACTGCTGTGGGTTGTTTTTACACTGCTCTGTGTCAAATGATCCAAACTAATTGAAAAACCTGTTCACCTTCTCACCTGTGGGGGCTTTGCACCAAGAACCACTTAAAGACATGACACAAAAACCTCTGAAGAAGAAATCAACTTCCTTCTTCCCAAAATGTAAACAAACATGAAATTCAGTCTGATTTTAGAGGTCGTAGGATTTTTGAGCCTTTTCTTCTGCTAGCTCTAGACTCATCTTAGTTTTGGTTGTATTTACCCAGAATGCCCCAGCGTTATAGTTCGCTTCCTGGTTGCACCCTCAGTTTTCTATTTTTACCTCAATGTTTCAGTGTTTAGGATTTTCTATCCTCTCTCCCTGCTTGGTCTCATGAATTGGCTAGGCACACTCAACCCAGTTCCTCTGCACGTTTCTTCCAGTTTAAAGTATTTCTCTGCGCTGTTGCCACATGCTCACAAGATGACTGATTCCTATAACATTAGTGACTCAAAGTAACTGACTGCGCTTCCATCGATAGATTCCTGCTGGACAAAGTACTCCACTCTAGCATTTACAAAAAATATTGATACTCATGGTCAAATCTTACCCCACCTCAGGTACAAGCTGCTCGGTCAAAAGTTTACTCAAGTTAAAGTGCTGTTTAAAAATACTTATGTATTCAAAAATTCATTCATTTAAAAACCCTTAAATATTCAGAAATACAATTTATACTTTCTGTTATTAGTGCGTAACTGCATTGTTTGTTGTGTTTGCAGGACAGCTGTTATAAAAAGTCTACACCACCTGTAAAAACGTCAGCATAAAAACGGTCTATGTGCAACGCAGCTCATGATCTAATGATGCAACTGTGATTAAGCTGAATAGCTGCCCACACAATTTCTAACTCAGTGTGGAAATTTCATCCAAAAATCACTGAATGAAACAACTAAATCACGCGTCTGACGCCTCCACAGAGTTACTCCAGAGTAAAAACTGAGACGAAAAAAAAGAGCCGCCTGCAACGTTGATTACCAATCCAGCCGGGTTTGCAGGACGGCTTGACCGTGACGACAACCTGGGCATCAGCCTGAGCACGATTCTTCCCACAGTCGAAGGCGGTCACCCAGAAGGTGTGAACACGCTGCCGCTTCGAATCCAAAGGCTCCGTGTTCTTAATGTTACCTAGGAGACGCAACGACAAAGAAAGAGAGGACATGACATAATGAGACAAACAGAAATAGAAATGGAGGGCTAGTGGCCAACAAGCTTATTCAACTGAGTGAAAAACCTCCTGAAGCTCCACATGTGCACTGAGTCAAAACAGGTTTTTTAGCTCAGCTTTCAGGGAGAAAAACAGGAAGATAAATAACATCGAGCAGGATGAAAACAAACGGGTTTTTCCTGCTTTTATAGATAAGGGTGAACAAAGTGAGTATCTGTGAAGGGCTGACAGCACTCTGCATGCTGCTTGACAAACAGCAGGTAGGGAAAAGAAGATGCTTTGACATGAAGAAATGAGAAACAAAGAGAAACAGAAGAGAGATGCAAAAATAAAAAACATGCAGCACAATGGGAACAATAGATCTGTGCTGCTGTCTGAAAACAGAAAGTACCTACTCATCCTTTGCAGGATGCAGAAAATCTACAGATCTGGACTTCATTTTGTTTCAAAATGGCCTAGTCAAAGTTCAGATCTAAATCCTTTTTTTTAAATCTGTGTAAGGTTTAAAACATAATGTTCACTGACACTCTTAAAACAATCTGAGGGAAATGAAAAAGTTTATTGAACAATTGTGAAAAGGTGGAATTTATTTTTGGCTAAGAATGTGAAAAAATGTTTTAACTTATTATATTATATATTATAATTATTGCCCTAAGTATATTATTTTTGTAGCAAATTAGCCTGAATATTCCGGTTAATAATGAATTGGTTACTAAACTAGTCTACAGTTATTTCTATGAACGATTAATCACTATTAATTGTTAAAGCTCTCGTGAAAGCTATGCATCATTTTCCTTCCATTTCCAAGTGAAGCACTAACATGGTAAACTGGTTGTAAACTGGTTGTAGGCGGATCAAATGTGTGATCAGTTATGCTCTTGTTAGTACAGCATGCAGGACGTGAGCCGTCTCACCGTCGTTGTCGATAGCGAAGGGCACGTTGGGAGTGATGATGTCATAGAAGCAGATCTGGCTGTACTGCGGGGAGCAGTCAGCATCCAGAGCCTCGACCCGCACGATCCTGTCAAACAGACGGCCTTCTGGGACCGAAGCCTCGTAGCGACGCTCCACAAACACTGGGGAAAACTCGTTGACGTCGTTCACACGAACATGAACCGTGGCCCTTAGGGAGAAGAAGTAAGGAGGGAGGTGAAGAGGGAGGGAGGAAGAGAAGGAGAGAAGCAGGAGATGAGGGTTGATATCACTACAAAGTGAATGTAACACTATTCTAACAAATATCTTAGTAAATCATTAATCTATTGATAATTTTAATGTTTAATCGTATAAAAATGTATTTTTATCTGATTTGTAAAATGTATATATTTTTTCTACGGCTTTGGCTTAATTACTACTCTGCATATGTTGTTCTTTTCAATAAATGCCTTTTTTGAGTCTTAATACTCATGTTTGCAATAAGTGGATTAATAAATTAGTTGACGGTTAATCTGATTAATCGCTTCAGCCCAGTTGGGGCGTGAAACTCATTTTCATTTAGGGCCATATCAACGTCACAAATGCTGTTAAAGGGGCCGATGTGACAAAATGTATTGAAAAACCCAAAAACAAATTGTTGAAATATTGATAAATAGCTACCTCTGCATTTGAGAAGTTCTTCTGAGAATATTATTGAACATCTTTTTAAATCGATCAGTCCCTCTAGGATTTTATAATTGTTCTTGAGATTTTATTGGCAATTGAAATCAGTAATTTTGTGAGGCTAACTTTGTGATATTTGTGCTAATGTGTGGCAGTAAATGTGACATTTGGTGTATCAATTGTGAACTACATCTTGATATCAAGTAAGGCTGAGGCTGCAGTGTGGTAGAAGTAGGCCTGACACAATTACACATTTGATAATATTGTTGCTTTGAGACCATTTTAAAGTAAAATATTAATAATGGCAAAATGACGCAAGTTCAATAAAATAAATATCCAAAATAAAACACAACAACCAAATACTATTTAAAAAATACACAAAACAGAAACCAGAAATAAAACTGATTAAGTCCCGATAAACAGAATTCCCCTTCAAAAAACATTAATCAACAGAATAAAAAATTTTGAGCCCATTTTAATTTATCATGCAATTAATTAATTACTTATTGTAAAGTAAGAAATACAGCCACCTTCAAGTGGAAGTTAGCACCACTTAAACCAAATATTTTTGGTCATTTTTGTGGAAAATCTGCAATAAACTCAAAATCATGCAATAGTCCAAAATTAGAAATAAAAATTAGAGATCTGTTGATTTTGAGTGAATTTCCACAATCGCAGAATTGTAAAAAATCTGGAGGGACCTACTGATGTAACTTGGCGGTAAACAGATAAAAACCACTTTACTTTGATTGATAAGATCATATTCAAGCACACAGTTGTTTTCATGCAGATTTATTCATCTCTCCGGAGTTTAGAGGGCCACCTAAAACGAATTTGACCCCCGGGCCTTCAGTCTGTCACAGCTTGATGAATCTACTGGCTGCTGTTGTTTAAAAATGGAAACATTGTATCTAACTTGTGGGATTTCTTGCTGTTGACACCATCGGGTCCCTCTCCACAGTCGTAGGCCTGGATGGTGAAGCTATGCTCCCGCTGGCTCTCACAGTCCAGCGGCTCTTTGGACCGGACCAGACCCTCGCCAGTGGAGCGGTCCAGAACCACAGCTTCAAACTGGACGGAACCGGAGCCTGAGGGGCCATTGTGAACCCGGAAGCCACAGATTTCACCTGGGTTGAGAATATTAATAAAAATAAATTAATCATGGCATCATATGAAGGTTAATTAAAAAACCTTTGATTAAAAAGAACACAATCTTGGTTTCTTTTTTTATTATTTTGTCCTGATTATTGTAGCACATTCATTTCATTTACCTGGCCTCCTTCTGACTAACGAGTGTTGATTTTCTCTCTGTTTATAAAGCACTCTGTGGGTCCATTCAATCAGGCAAATTGTTTTATATTTGTGCAAAATACGTGCATGCGACATACCAATAAATAGCTTAAAACATGGAGGACAAAATGTCTAGCAATTAATTCTCAGCATCCATCAAACTGCAAACAAATTCATTTCCACAGTACACCATTTTATATTTTAATAGCAAAGCAGTTTATTCGCTATTACTGTATTTACAACATGGCAGAAACCTATTGGAAAAGGCTTTAAATGACGCATCTCTAACCTCTGTGTTGGAATTACTGGATCTTACTGATTTTGACCCAGTTGATAATAAAAAACTGATTAGCAAGAAAAATGGATGGGATTGTCTGCCGCTGTTCTAGATTACTTCTGATTTATTTGGCAGACTAGAACGACTTTGTGTCATTTGGAAATTATGAATCGAAGCCAACAGAGAACGGATCCTTCAAGGCTCTGCTCTCGGGCCTCTGTATCTTCAAAATCTACAAGCTTCCCCAACTACAGAGGACTCGCTGCACAAACCAGGATCTTCTCCTAATGAACAAATTAAATCCTCAGTAATCAGCTCCTCTGCAAAATAATCCAATATGCAAACCTGCCTTTCTTTGGTTTTCTATATTAAAAAATGTCTGTCTGGGGCTGTGACTAAAAATTATTATAATTATTGTTCATTGTGATGATTAACTGGATAGAATTTTTTTTTATTTAACCACTTAAGCCATTTTTATACAACAGTGTAAATACATTAAAAAGTGAAAATAAACAAATAAGGTTTTCAAATAAGAAACCAGGTGAAGCTAAAATTAGGACACTTGAGAACTTCGAGGTGGAAGATATTTACCATTTTGTTTTTATTTTAAATGCAAATTGTTTGTATTTTTGTAGTTTTGGCTTAATTACTACTCTAAACATGCTGCTCTTTCATTTTTTTAAATGTATGCTCCAGTTAATCGATCAAGCTAAATTAGTTTATTTTTAGTCAGTAATCAATTCATTATGATTATTTCAAATAATTGTTTCAGCCCAGTACAAACACATACAAGTAATTACTTTTTCTTTTGACCTTCATTTAATTTCTTCTAAGGTTGATCTATTTATAAAGTCTGTGAGAGTTTTGAAGTCAAATTCCTTGTTTTTGAACGTAATCGTGGCAATGACGCCGATTCTGGTTTTATTTCTACTTTAAGAGGATCCCAGCCTTTCGGACCAGATACATGCTGGTGATACACAAGTTTTCAGTGTCACCACATAACCTAAGAAAATGTTGGCTCGTTTAACCAAAACTGAAGACAGTAATGTTTATCATAAGGGTGAATAATGTAAGCTATCGTTTTTATTCCTTTTTTTTATATCGTTTTTTATGTTTAAATTTTCAGGTTTAGCATCTCTTTCATTTATGATTGTATTTATTGTTTTTAGTTCGCTGCTGTTCTGATTAACTTTAAAAAAAATATATATATATATATATACACATGACAAATGCTTCAGTTTTTGTTATTTTACAGGAATAAGTTGAGGTGCAACTAATCGCAATAATTTTGTTCTTACCACTGAATAAACACAGCAAAATAATTATTATTACAGTTTTTTAATGTGGAATTATGCAATTGAGATGACATATGATTTAGTTAATCCACCACTAAACTGTGATCACAAAACAAGGAAGCCAAGCCAAAGCCTCACAGACTGATGCATTTTCTGGTGTCAGACTTTGACTGTGGGAAGAAGGTTTTTCTCTGAAACTGCTAAATTATTAAGCGATGCAGTCCTTCAAAGAATGGAGAATCCCTGTTTATCTCTGAAAAGACTTGGTCTCTGAGGGATCTTTCTTTTTAGACCCACTCATGTTACTGACAAAGAACATTTTCCTCTGTTTTGTTTCTCCTCTTCCTACTTGTTAAACATATTGTTGAAGGGGAAAAAAAATAAAGCATCCATGTACTTTGTAAGTTTCTTTTTTATTTTTCGATAAAAAGATAAACCCGGGAAGCATAAATTTAAATTCAAGCCACTAAATTCTCCAATGAAGTATCATAATCACTTAACATGTTTGTATTATTGAAAAACTGAAGCGAACTAATGTGATTTTGAGTACACTGATATCTAGAAATGCCTTCATGCACCCATTCATTTCAAACGTCTTATCAGACACATTGGAAAAAAACTGCACCAGCTACTGAAAATAAAAATCCTTAGAATAGCAGCAGATCCCTATCAGTTGACGAAAGTCAAAGGTTCATGCTCAAACAGCTAATATCCTCTTCCATTTTGACATTGGCTCAATATATTCCAGAGTAATTCAAGTTGATTTTTCATAATTTGACTGAACGTGGTTATTTCCAGGACTCAAGAGTGCAAACATGATCACCTTATTTCATCAGGCTGCAGAAAGGCACAGCGCTTGCTGATTGCTCCTGCTGCAAAGGCTTGAATTACACCAGGATGGGCTAAAAATAGTGGACTCTTTGACTGAACACATTGCCTTTAATATTTAGGGAGTCTTTAGGGAAATACTGCTGGTGGCTGTGAGTGGTATTATAGCTCCAAATGAAAAAATAAATGAGCGTGTCGTTTACTACTGAAAGCTGAAAGCAATCCAGTAAAAACAAACTGCATCATTAGAGCAGTCACATGACTAAAACATCATTGAGCAATTTGAATAAAAATTACATAATTTTCTTTGTCTTGGTGTTTGACTAGTCAAGCAAATGATCTGATGTATTAATTTATTTGCAATGAAAAAGTAAAATAACCTTCTTATATGAAATCAGATTTAAAATTTTTGTTTGGTTATCCTTGTTATCAACCAAGATAACCAAAATTATTTCTATGAGCCAGAAAACAGAACAAGAGAGATGTCTTAAATATTTTATTATCTTCTTCAAATTGACAAGTTTAAATATAGCATGATTGATTTGCATTTAAATTTGCCGAAGCAGTTGAAATGTTATTTCACAACATGCGAGTTAAATGGAGGCACAACTCTGAGCCTTAAACCCAAATGGGTTTAAGGCTACACTTCAAACACAAAATCAAAAGTGAATCAGGCAAAATATCAGTAAGTGAAATGTGGGATTCTGTTTGCAGAAGCCTGTAAATGCTACATTAATCCATTCTAATAGCTATATCCAACTACGAACGCCACAGGAATGTTCAGCCATCATATGGAGATGGGTTGTGTGAAGTTGTTAACTTGTTCTGGTTGGGATGTGTTTATCAACCCAAACCAAAGATTAGGCCACTCAGTGAAGAAGAAGCCAGATTACAGTTTCCAAATGCATTTAGAGGCAAAAAATGTATGCATTTATTTTTTTTTTTTGGCAGATAAATTCTTTGATTTGAAGTTTGGGTCTTTGACCCTAATCTACATCCTTCCATTTGTTAGAAAAGGAGGGTAAGACGACAAGCCTAAGAAAGTCACCACAGCTGTTAAGCATAGGTGTGGCAGCATCATGTTGTGAGGCTATTATGCTGCAGGAAGGATGGATGCACTTTGTAAAACAGAAGCCATAATGAGGAAAGAAGTCTGTGTGCAAATACAGAGGCAACATCTCGACATCAGGCAGAAATATGAAGGTTGGCCTCAAAAGAGTTACTTAGCATAGCAGCAATCTTAATGCTAGCGAGTGGCCAATGAGGAAGTCCTTTAAAAAACCTACAGGCCTGACTGAGTTATAATGGTTCTGTCAGGAGGAATGGACCAGAACTTAAGCAAAATACTGGGAGAATCTTGTGGAAGAAAACTCTGTGACACTAGCAAAGCTGCAACTGACAATTATTTTAGTAATCGACAATTCTCATAATTAACCGCATGAAGAAATTATACTTTCAGCAGATTTTTTATTTCCGATATTAGAAGTACGTTTAAAGATACAGATAAATGAATAATTCAGTTTCCTTTTTAAATAAGAAAGGAGACATTTTCTTGCCTAAAATGGAAAAAAATAACTTTCATTTAATGCATGTTTAATCATTTGTAGCAAAGGATGAGTCTGCAGACAGAAAAATACTTCTAACATCAACATGCAAAAAGCTCAGACCTTCCTGCTTGACTTAACATCAATATTTAAGGCAAAACTATTGATTATTTTTTTGGCTTAAGTCATTAATTGTTGGATAGCAAAAGGTGCTTAATAAGAGACTTTCTATGCCACTTGAGGAGCTTGAAAACATATTTATGGTCTTTATTTCCACTAATGCAAAATTTATTTTTTAGTACAGTTGACTTAATTACTGCTCTGAATGTCAATATTTCAGTAAATGTCATTTTTAGAGTCTGCATACTCTACTTAATCATTAATGAATTTCTAAATTAGTTGATGATTATATCAAGAATCATTTCATAGCAATTATTTATATCAGTTCTAGACACAAGTCACACAGTTTACTAGGAAATGAATATTAACATTCCTAATTACCATAAACAATATAAAAGAAGGGGAAATTTGTCAGATGTTAGATACTGATAAAAAAAGCTGTGGGTCCTTTTTTCTTCGGTGTATGTATAAAAATCGGATTTTGGCTGTATTTTGATGGATGCAGGCGGTGTTACCAGCGTAGTGAAGCGGAGCGTCTTTGTCCAGGGCGAAGAGAGGGGGATTGAGCAGTACGGTGTTGTCGTTCTCCATGACAATCCCCTGGTACTCTGTCTCGATCCATGGCTTGTGCTTATTGGCTGAGAGAGAAGACCGAAAGGGCTTTGGGTTAAATGGAGCAATTACAAGGAACCACTGCATCTATTTTTAACAGTCAATTATGGGGGAGAGATATGGTGAGAGGGTGTATGAGTGAAAAAAAAAACCCCACGCAGAAAGTAACGCGTGACCAGTGAGCGTCAGATAACGTTCACAGTTGACATTTTTCCTCCATTTTCATTTCAAGCACCCTCCAGTTCCACAGCCCTGATTTGTTTCCATCAAACAGACACAGACAGAAATATTCAGCTCTGAATCAAACGCCCAAGGTTCTCTCAGAATCCAACCTTTAATTGCTGAATAATTATTAATCCTTGTGCAGACTGTTCGGTGCTGACTGATCAAAGGCCAAGTTAATGAGCCACAAGGATGACGATTTTACACTCCAGCAACGAGCGAAAACAAAAGACAGCGCTCCCTCCCTTCTCTTGTCCCCGATCTCCTAACTCAGAGGCTGCAGAGTTTGAAATCAGACACAAGCACAAGATGTATTTCTTTGTTGTCACCACAGTAAATTTTCGAGACAATGAAACTGGAACTAATTTTTCAGTCTCAGAGCCACCAAGATGAAAATGAAAATAAATAAAAAATATTGCTGCTGGTTGTGAATCTGATCGAACTTCTTTAACTTCAAACACAGAGCCGAGGATCATTTGAATTCTCTTTGCCTTAAAGCACCAAAGCCTGCTGCTGAATTTAAATATGTATTTTTATATCGCTGTTGAAAAACAGCTTGGAAAAAGGTATTTCATTATGCAACCTCTCCTTTACCAGGCACTGTAAATATATTTTACATTCATTTCATATTCATGTACTTTAAATACTGTTTGCTTTGTCTTCACTGTTTATATACCACTGCAGCTTTGACCTGCAGCTCCTTTTCTTTTGCACATATGAATAACTTAAGAGATAAACAGACTGAAGCTGCAGTATTTTTCTGTTTTACATTAATTTAAAGGAAATTATCCATGATTGTGGTTTATAAACTACAGACTACAATTTAAAATTATTTCAAATGTGTTAAAAGTATTTTGAAAACATTTTCTGGCTATTGTAGCTCCGTATGAGGAATTATTGAGTTATATGATAAAAATATTGGTTACTACTAATCTACACTTTGCTTTTCACTTTCTTTTTTTCTTTCTCCTCATCATCAGTTATCAAATAAATGTGTTCTTCAGTACATTTATGTCTGCATTTAAAAAAGGAATTTTTTTGAGTTAATTCAGCACCATTTTTTTATATCGACTTGGTTTTGGCCGATAAGAAACTGCAGATATCGGTATCAGTCATGAAAAATGTGGCCTGTAAACCCTTCTTTAAGCAACTTTAAAAGGGGCAGTATTAAGTCCCCCTTTAGAGGAGCACTTAATACCCTTTGAAGGGCTTTAAATCCAGGCATATAGTGCCATTTTATAACGCAATATAGTAACATCAGAGGTTGTAAATATATACCCTAAAAAAATAATGTCAAATAAATTTGACTTTGTAATTAAGTGCCTTGAAATTGGGTTTCTGTCCCTTTTACATAATAAATTGGTGTACAGCTAAAAAAAGTCATTTTTCCATAATACTCCCTTAAAACCAAGCAAAATTCTTAACTGCCTAAATATTTGTTATTCGCTTTGTAAATACATTTGAGAGAAAGAAAAAAAACACACACTCTCATAGAGCTATGCATCCCTGCCAGTTTCCAACTGGAAAAATGTCTATCTGGCACCAAAAATGAGTTGCCATCAACACCCAGGCATAATCACAGTAATTCATCTTCTCCTCCACCTCCTCTGTTTCCACGCCCGGCTTGTGTGTTTCTTTTTCGGTAATTTATATCATGCCCTCTGCCCCTCTTCCTCCCCCCACCCCAACCCTCGCTGCTATGTAGCATTAATCTGAGCATCAGGCCCGTGGATTACATTCGGGATTACAGATTGAGAGGCATCTCGCTCCATCTCTCTGTCTGCCCCCCTTGGCACTGCTCCTCTTTCTGTCACCCTATCCATCAGGCCGCAGCTCTCACCCATCAACCCCTCCTCATTTGGCCTCTTCACTCCCGCACACACCTACTACTGTATGCACACGCCAGGCCCCGCATCCCCTCTCCCTGCTGTCACCTGATCTCACGTACCACCTCTCCCTCCTTATCTTCCCCCTCCCGACCGGCTGTGTCAGTTTCATCCGCCTCCCCCTCGGCATGACAATCACTAGCTCAGTTACAAATTGTGCGCAAAATCTTTTGTCTATGTTGTGCTAATGTCGCAAAAAGAAAAACACAACAATTGCGCTGTTCTGAATAAGCTGATTAGTCGTTAAACATTCTGACAGCGACGGATGTAAACACTTACATGAGATGTATTCATAATTCAAACATGGCGCCGGGCGCTAATCATCAGAAACGTTAGCATCTGAGTCAGCCGTTGGAAGCCGTGCGGCGTTCGGGGAAAATTGTAATTTTACCTATTTTACAGAATAGGTATGTATGAAACAACTTTTTACGAACATTTCCCGAACAAAATAAACAAAAACAAACCATCATCCCCCTACTACTTCCTGTAGTCGTCTTCGTCGCCAGTAGTAACATCCGGTGTTGATCACGAAAAAGTGTTTCCTTTGCAGTTTCGCTGAAAAACCACCTCATCCCCTTTTTTCTGAGATTAGAGTGTTTCCATTATGTCGCAATGTTATGGTTAGTAGAAAAGCAGCTAGTGACAATAGCTTGAATCAGATGTTCCGATTACAAATGAGGGCAGATCTTTGTCAATATTTTGCAGGTATACATTTTTTTTTAAATTGCAAATGTGCAGTGTTTCTATTAAGTAAAAAATTAGATTAAAATGCCATATGAATTATCTGAACTGTTTTTTGTTTTTTAAAAAAGTGGAGTGCCATCCTCCTACTTCCTGTCGTCTTCTTCCACGTTTTCGCCAGTAGTAACATCCGGCTGTTGATCACATGACTTGCATGACAGGAAAAAAAAATTTCCATTGCAGTTTTGGGTACTACAACCATTTCCACATGGCTGGAAAACCACCTCATCCTAGCGAAAAAATATTTTGCATGAGTTGTTTTTTTTTTTTGTTTGTTTGTTTTGTTTTTAAATTAGCATGTTTCTATTAAGCAAATTTATTAGCATATTTTTAATTTGTGCAATTGTATGGTTAATGGAAACGCAGCTAGTGAAGCAATGATCCTGAATCAGACTCTATGAGAAATCTGGGAAGCGGATCCATCATCTCCGAGGCGCACCACAGACAGAAAGGGCACATGCAGGAGATGCAAAGATGTTTATGTATGCACCTGGTTATGCATGAGGAATTGAAGCTATACATGAGTAAGTCACCGGGTTCATGGCTCTGCTTGGAAAAATACCCCCAACCCCACCTGACAGGTCTGTGTGTTTCTATGGCAATGCAAAACCTTCATTCCCACACTTCACAGTCAAAAACAGAAACAGAAAGAAAAAGGAATTAAAACTGACCTTTGTTGCAATTGGCAACCGAAGTCAAGCAAAGGAGGAGGAAGGAGAGAAAATTCATTCTGTCCATCTGAAGGAGGAAAGAGGGGAGGATAAGAGGGTGGGGGTGAGGAAGGAGAATAGAGAAGAGAATGAGGAGGAGGAGGAAGGGAGGTAAGGAGGGGTACAGTTCATGCATCAACAACAGATCAGCAGTGGAGGGACAGTACAGTAGCAACAAGCAGATCAGGCATTTCAGATGGCACTTTGGGGGGACGGAGGGGGTTTCACATTGCTGTTGTCTGTCCAATAAATCACCATTAAAGTGACACGGATGAAAGCTGCAAAACTAAATTCAGAGTTGCATGACTGGAGCTGTAATCCAGGAGAATTTCAGCATTATGCCGCCCTGACATGCAGCCCAGAATAGTATAACACACACACATATATATATGTATACATGGTCATGAGTGGGGAACGTTCTGCATGTGGGGCTGCGTGTCTTATCACCTCGTGGTTTGTTTAGGCTGATGAGAACATCTCGGCTTGTGAACGTGAGAAATAATCTAATTTGGTGTGTTTTTGTTTAATGTAAGATGACTACACACATTCAGAATAACAAACATGCTATGCGACAATTATCTGACACACATTTCCAGCGGGCGTACGTGGATGCGTAAAGCGGCATTTAGGAGGAAACGCCGCAGAAATGGTGGGTTACAATGCAGGAAAAAATGTGGGATATTACCGTTCTGAGTGCGGCGATGCTCCTGGTTGGTGCCCCTGCCTCTACGCTCGCAGCATCCGCCTCTCACACCCCTAACGCTCGGTTCGGTTCGGCTCAGATCAGCTCGGCTCCCGGAGGCTGACAACAAACCCAGAGCTCAGCCTCCGAGGTGCGGGTGGATGGAGGCGGAAGCGGCTGGATGCAGCTCGAGAAAGGACGCTCAGGTGGGGTTATCAGGGATGAAATGTGGGGAGGAGGAGGAGAGCGGCGGACGTCCTTGTTTTTCCCCACTCGGCAGGAGGAAGAAAAGCGGTGGGAATGTTACGCTGACGTGCCCTCCCTCTCGGCGTTTCTTAACCCGCCCACACTGCGTCCTTCTTCCCTCTCTCCTGCTGCCCTGGCTCTTTTCTCCTCCACTCTGACTCAGGCTCCAAACGCAGCAGAGACTCAGTCCCGCCGTCACCTCACAGCTGTCAGCTCGAGCCGCGCTGATTGACTCGTCCGCCTCGTCGTTTTTTTCTTCTTCTTCGTTTGTGCGTGTTTTCATCCGTTTCCACGCGTTTCACGCTGCTCACTCTGTCGGTTCCTCTCTGCAAAATGACATCATGGCACCCGGATTCGCCCTCTTGCCAAGGCTAATTATGTAAAAACAAACAGACTCGCTCTAGATGCATTTTTTTTTTTTTGCACCTGCAGTGATTTCAAAAAATGATGGAGCATTCCTACATTTTGTCACGGTGACGCCTCAAGATGAGACTGGCATGCATTCAAAGCCCTACCTCTTTATTCTGATACCCCTAAATAAATCACTTGTAGTCAAGGTAAAGTAGAAAACCTCAACGTATTTTCACTCAAAAGTAAAAAATAAGAAATAGCAGACAAGAAACAACGCAACAGTACAAAACATTTGGTAAAAAGTCTACTCGAAGATTAAAACAAAAAACAATTATTTAACATCTGAAAGATGCATAATCACACAGACAGTAGATATTTTAAGTGCCAAAAATAAAATAATTTCTATAAATTACATAATTGCAAAAATAACAAAATCGAAATAAAATTTTTTCAGTACAAAACTTATGAAACTCCAGGTGTGTGTCCGGTTAAAACGAGCTCATTCTTCAGTCACTGAAGTATTTGGTTTGAGCAGTTGATCAAAACAGTCATTTATAATTTAAAAATTACATCATCAACCGTAATTTGATGTGTAATCTAGATTATCTGAAAGGCCTTTGAGGTTTAGTAGAGAATAAACGGCATCATGAAGACCAAGAAACAAAAAACAGGGAGAAAACTGACATTAAGCAAGAGAAAGTTGCAGAGATCCACAGTATCACAGTTGACATTTACAGAAAAACAGTGAAAGGAATATATGAGAAAATGCTTTTGTCAGAGCATTTCAAAATGAAGCTTCTTATAATCTGTGGCAAAACTTGAAAGGTGTTTCATTTATTTATTTGCATTTATTTCAAACAGGCTACAGGTTCCTCATCAAGTGGAGCGCCTTGGTGAAAGTTGTGACGCTCCACTTGTGAAAGTAAAATAAGAAATACTTCATCGTTCCCTCAGGAAAATTGTTTGAGAGCAGAAGTGCAGCGACTGCAAGATACAAGCAAAATAAGACTTAAAAATATAGATTATAGAATAAAACAGCAGCACCACCTCGGCATCTAAAAACAAAATAAAGAAATAATTAAATTAATGCACAAAATAAAAACAAATGTAAAAGAAAATCAGATGTAGCTGATTTTCTTGTAGCTCAAAAACTTCAATGCCTCAGATTTTCTAAAGTTAGCTTTAATTTAAAGTTGTATTTTGTATAATTGTGCAATAAAAGTCCAGCTGTGTTTTATTACCGGAACACATCTGTTACCAAAAACAACACAGGATGTTTATCATTCCTAAAGCTCATGAATAAACTGCAGAGATCTTGCTTGAAATGCAGCTTTTTATTAAACATTACAAAAGTATATTTCAAATCACATCCACTTCTCACATCCCAACCTGTTTTATGTACATTTACTTCAGATAAGGCAAAACAACTGAGCCTCTTGAAATAGCAAGTCATCAATTAATAATCAGCATGTTCTGTATAAATATTACTGGAATCTGGGCCGTTGCTACAGTGAGGTTTCCCTCAAGTATGTGAAGGGACGGCGGCGGCAGCAGCAGATTTCACCCTCACCCAGAAATGTACACATTACATCGAGGCGTTTGAGTTCTGATCCTTCACTCTGATTAATTACAGCCTGCTGTTAGAACACAGGCTCTAGGGGAATTACCAGGTTAATATTAAAAAACAAAACAAACAACAAAAACAGCGCTGTTTAATAATATCAACACCACTTACAGAGTGAGTGAGAGCCACTGAGTTTCACATTTGTGCATCTAAAAGTGAGGTTTAGCTGAAAGGCAGGAAATTGATGCATCTTATAGAAAAAAACCCACAAAATGTTCATAAAACCTTATAATATATATATATATATATATATATATATATATATATATATATATATATATATATATATATATATATATATATATATCCCTTACATTTTTCAATTACAAATCAAATTTAATCCAGAACAAACATTCATTGAATCAAGGCCATTTAGAGTTGGGTTTTAGTTGTACAGTGTGTGATTTTACAGTGCTTGTATAACCACTAGCAGCCATTTGCACAGAAAACAAGCCCATCATCGCCTCAGTGTTTCTGCAGAAACCTGTGCATGTTGTGTCATGACATCAGCAAGTGTTATGTATACATATATATGTATGTTCATACATAAATGGTGGCACTGTGCTTAAACCTTCTGTTTTGTTTCAATGCTGCTGCTGAATGCGGGCGCCAGACACGGGGCGACGGAACAACAAAAACACAGGAGCCTAAAAACAGAACCTGTGACTCATAAGTGCAATCCTGTGTCGACAGCATGAAAAGTCTCTTCAGTTCCACAAGTCTTAAAAATTTCCACGAAAAAAGAAGAAAGTGATGATGATAAACAAGCAGGAAACTGCCCCTGATTGGTTCACAATTACCCCGTGTGGCACAATGGTAATTTCCTGTAAACATTTTCTCAAAATGTTTATAAAAACCACCCCTCCCATTTAAAAACACAAAAATATAATTTATTTTTACATCAACATATATTCATATTTATATATTACTAAAGGCCTTAAAATAGTTTGTGTTCTGCTCCCCGAACGCCACAGTTCCCTTTCAGGGTCGAGCAATTTCAGCCTTGAACGGACCTGGAAGAAAACCAGAGTTTAGATTTTCACTCTGGATTAATTTTAAAATGTAGATTAAAAAGGAGAAAATGTGACTACTCACCTTTCCAGGAGTCAAAACAGAGTTTCAGTCTTGTTTCTCCGGTCTCTGGACCTTCTTAGGCACCAGAGTTATACGGAGGAGCGGCAGAATTAAATAAGCCACGAGGAAGAACAGGTGACCACAGAAGTAGACGGAAGAGTACACCTGAAAAATTAAACGAAACTTTAAAGATCGCCGAATTATCACATGAATTTTCTGATTTTCATCTTTCAAACTAAAACAAATCAAATATTTTCTTCATAACAGGTAACGAGGACGCACACTTCTCTGTTGAAATGGTTTTCGAGAGAAATGCGCTCAGTTAGAAAGAAGTTTAAATAATGTCGGATAAAGCAAGAAATGTTTAAGAAGCTGCAAGAAAAAAATCATTTCTCAGAAACAAAGTCAAATTTCAGGTGTGGAAGTTGAACAGAATGCAGCAGAAATATTTCTCCAATTTGAACATTGGAGCATTGAACTTCCATGGGTCCTGGGAAATCCTGGACTTGTAAATGTTGGAAACATCTAGGAAATCTCCCAATCAGGGTAGAAACTATAAACACAAGCTGCTGTTAATAGTTGGTAACTCTGTGCTAACCCTCATGAAAAATGAGGTTAGCATTATTTATTATGCTAACTTAATGAGTGTTTGTTTTAAAACAGTTTATCATAACTTCAATGCTTTACGTTAATAGTATAATCCTGTTATCTGTGAAAATAGAAATAAATGAAAGTTTTGATTTGCATACAAAAATCCATTGCAGCTCCAGATTTAAATGAAATTTGTTATCAATCTGCAAAAAGTGAGACAAATGGAATATCAGTTTTATTTCCTTAAAAAACTACAACATATTCTAGATAAATGGTGAATTATTGAACAATATTTAGTTGGATAAAGACCATTTTTTGAACTGCTTCACATCTGTGTGGTGTGGAGTCGGCCTGCCTGCAGAATCTGTGAGCAGGACAACTGGATTATATTCACCAATTCCAGTGGTTTTCTTGTTTAGTCTCCAAAACATGTTAAATGTCACCACTAATAGTTTCCATTGGAATAAGGTCGTGGGATTGGTCTGGCGGCTCCATAACATTAATCTTTTTTACTGGTGTCATTGGGGTCAGTAAATATTTCTAAATGTGTTTTGGGTTTGTAACTAAAACACATTTAAATATAAACCAACTGGTGCTCTTTAAGCAGAGTGTTCCTACTGTTACTTCAGTTAAGTCAAATGAGTCAATTAACCAATAAGAAGCTTCCACAGCCATGACATCATCAGAGGTTTTCCTCATTGTTATAAGAGTCAGTAATCTTCTAGTTTTAAAGCCATTAATAAATTAATTTTGATGTATTTTCTCTCTCATTATTGTGGCATTAGCAAGTAGAAATAATTTTGGAAATTTCAACCAACCTACAACAAAGAGATGTTTGGTCTGATTTAACTTCAGACAGTAAGAAAAAAAAAGTCTGTCTTTTTATTTGGAGTAGGTAAATTTCAGGTTTTGATTGTAAAGAATTACCACTACCCTACAAACCTTTTGATGCGTTATTTTGATATTCCTCCTGTTTCTGCACTTTTCATAAATCCTTAAAGCTCCCTAGAAGAAACGGACAGCATGGCTTTGTGTGGCAGCATCTTTCTGTTTAATAAAGCACTTTATTGGCTCAGCAGGGGTTCTGACACAAATTGTGTCGGGTCCACCGCCAAACATAGTTTAGTTCAGCTCAACTAATGCAACAAAACAGTAAGCCATAGCAGACAAAGGCTTAGCGCCGACTAATCAATTTGTTTCAAGCAGATTACAGAGAGATTTACTGTGAAAACCTCTGACAGAAAACCACAGGGTAGTCTTATGGCAAAATGTTAAACTTGGAAACTAATTACAGATTGTTTTGCAACTACATTTGCTTTCACTCCAGCTTCATGTGCATATTATTATTTTTGGAGTAAAAAGAGAGACAAAAAAAATAGAGCAAACATCTGGGCATCCAACCAACTGTCATAAAAGAGGAGAAAATAATTCAGAGGAAAATCCCGCTGCAGCGTGCGCACTATAAATTCACTAAAATGGGACCCTGGGCTATATTTCAACACCTCACTGCTGTCTTAGCAACATATTCCTCCCAAGTTGAGCCCTTTGTGCTCTTATTTACAGTGCACCTCTGGAGTTTAAAGAAGTGTTTTGCATTTGATACTCAAGGCGCTCCCATGAGCTGAAAATGGAAAATATAGATGAAGTAAAAAAAGATTCCCAAGCAGATTTATCTTCTTAGAGGTGTAGCCTCAGGAGAT